GATGTGCACTTGGACCTAGAGTGCTCTGTGCTGGACTTTTGGGACATCGCTGTGAATAAGCTAGACATGGTCCTTGTCCTTACAAAGCTCCCAGGCTTAATGTGGGGGCCACAGATAAGTACAAATCATGATGAGAAAGTTTAAGGAAGAATACATAGAGCCTGAAGAGCATGTGTCAGGCAGACTTTTTCTTTTTTAAAAAAGATTTATTTAATTTTATTTCGGGGGGAGGGGAGAGAACTAGCATGGTGGGGGAGGGGCAGAGGGAGAGGGAGAAGCAGGCTCCCGGCTGAGCAGGGAGCCTGACATGGGGCTTGATCCCAGGACCCTGAGATCATGACCTGAGATGAAGACAGACACTTAACTGACTGAGCCACCCAGGCACCCCCAGACCGTTTTTTAAAAAAACATTATTTTGTAATTGCAAAACCAAAAAACAAAGAATCTTCAGGACAGAGATCTCTTTACTCCCATTTTGTTGTGTGAAGCATTTTTATTTGTCCGTGTTGCCTTTGTGTTCTTGTCTGTGTCACATACACATCCACCCCATATGTACTCCCAATTTGCCCTTTTAGTAAACTCAGTCAGGTTGGTTAAGTGGGTTTATTTGAAAAGGACATTTATATGTCAGGATGGGCTGGGCTGGGCTGCAAAAACAACTTCCAAATTGCAGTGACTTGAAATAGCAAAGGTGGGTTTTCTCCCTCCTGCTACATAGAGGGTTGCCTTGGAGCTGCTGCTGATAGATCTTGAATATTGCCAGAAGCATGGGAAAGGCGTGGGGAGCTCTGGGCTTGCGCTAGTAATTAAATGCTCCAGACCGGATTCACATATGTCATTTTGCTCGTATCTCACTGGCCAGAATTCATCACATGGCCCCACTGGACCATAATGGGGTCAGGAAGTGCAATCCCTTTCATTGCTGGGCAAAGTGGAGTTCGAAATATATGGCAGATAGCACTAATGAGCATCTGAACACTTTATTTTAAAAAAAATTTTTTTTTTTTTAGATTTTATTTATTTGCGAGAGAGAGAATGAGAGACAGAGAGCATGAGAGGGAGGAGGGTCAGAGGGAGAAGCAGACTCCCTGCCGAGCAGGGAGCCCGATGCGGGACTCGATCCCGGGACTCCAGGATCATGACCTGAGCCGAAGGCAGTCGCTTAACCAACTGAGCCACCCAGGCGCCCGCATCTGAACACTTTAAATGTTTTGTTTTAACCAAGAACTTTTTAAAAAAAATATTTTATTTATTTGACAAAGACAGCGAGAGAGGGAACACAAGCAGGGGGAGTGGGAGAGGGAGAAGCAGGCTTCCCGCCGAGCAGGGAGCCCGATGTGGGGCTCGATGTGGGGCTCGATCCCAGGACCCTGAGATCATGACCTGAGCCGAAGGCAGATGCTTAATGACTGAGCCACCCAGGCGCCCCTAACCAAGAACATTTAAACAGACATTCTTCTCTTTGTGTAGGACTAAGACCTTTTTTTTAAGTATTGGTCTCCCATTTATCATACAACATCAATCTTGTAAAAACTACATCCACAAAGCACAAGTCATTTATAATTGCCAGTGTTTTGTCCTTTTTTTTTTTTTTTTTTTTTTTTTTAAGATTTATTAATTGGTGCGCCTGGGTGGCTCAGTCGTTTAAGCAGCCCAACTTGAATTTTGCTCAGGTCATGATCTCATGGGTCATGGAATCAAACCCTGTGTCAGGTCTGAGCACAGCAGGGAGTCTGCTTGAGATTCTCTCTCCCCCTGCCCCTCCCCCGACTTGTTCTCACAAATTCTCAATCTCTCTCTAAAGTCAATAAATCCTGCTGGAAGCGGAGGAGGGGCAGAGGGAGAGGGAGAGAGACAATCTCAAGCCAACTCCCCGATGAGCTCAGAACCCGACTCAGGGATCGATCCCATGACCCATGAGATCATGACCTGAGTCTAAATCAAGAGTCAGATGCTCAACCAACTGAGCCACCAAGGCGCTGCTGTTTTGTCTTTTTTTTTTTTTTTTAAGCAACTCACTTTTATTTCTCCAATGCGGGCAACCTGTTCTTCATATAAACAACTCTCTTGCATTAATATTTTATTGGTTTGATAGGATTAAGTTATTAACTTAAGAGCAACTGGCATAAACAGGTTTGGTAGCAGACCGCTACTTTGCAGGAAGCGTACAGCATCCCAGATGGGAGCAGAATTGCTTAGTCATACCAGCCTGCTAGCCTGGACGGCAGGTTTCACAGATGAAATGGGCAGCTGTCTTTCAAACTGGCACATGGGGTAAGCCAACTGGCTTCAGAGGGCTGTACTGTAATACGACTTAGAATTTCGGCCTACGTTTTTATTTCACATCCTGGGATGTTCTCATTTTGCTCCCGCTGGAGTGTATCCTCGCACAACTTTCTCTCTGCTTATACAATCCTGGGAATTCGTGCCCACACATGTGTCCTGATGGGAGCCGAAGGATGATGGAGAGCAGGAAGGATGTGGAAGAGATCAGTCTGGATAGAACAGCAGGGGTCCACCATGCGGGCATTAGAGGAAATTTGTGTTGAATTCTAGGGGGACTGGGAAGCCACTAGAATGTTTTGATTAGCAAAGGGAGAGACATGGCGGCAAGAGTTAGGAGAGATTGTGAAGTCTTAGACCAAGGAGAATGGTGAGAAATGAGGATTTAGGGAGATTAAAGAGGCTTCTGTCCCTGTGGTTCTGTCTCCTTCCTGCTGCCAGTGGTCGGTTGTCCTGACGTGGGTGGTTGTCAGGGGTCTGGAGGTAACTGTTGATATCTAACTTATGGTCTGGGTCCAGAGAGCACAGACTCCATTTGGTCACAATCCAAGTCAGATTTGGAACTCAGGGCTGCGCAGGTGGCTTCGTGGGTGGGGGGAAATACATCCTGGCTCAGGGCTTCTCCTGTTTCATGGGCCACCCCTCTGTCTCATTAGCTGGTTGCTCCTCAGGACTCTCACCTCTAAAGGGATGGAGTGTCCTGGACCCTATCTACACACATGCTCTTTGTGATCTCAGTGTCTCATTGATTCGAGCATGGAAGACTCCTGAAGTTCTATCTCCAGACTCCCCTATCCACATTGCTTAGTCGACATCTCAAAATTAACACATCACAAACGGAAGCAGGGATTTCCGCCTGCCCCCAGAGTTGGCTCCCTTTCACTAAGCAGCATCCCTGTACAGGCAGACACCTTGGCCTCATCCTTCCCTCCTCTTTCTCTCACTCTCTACACAAGTCCTTTGGGCTCCAGCTTGAAATGAATTGTGTAAACGACTACCTCCACTGTGGCCGCCCTGCCTGCGTCCATCCCATCTGTGCCTCCTGTCTGGATTATTAGCACAGTCTTCTCTCTGCCCTTCTGCTTTCATTGCTCCCCTTCCATCTTATTTTCAACACGGCAGCCAGGGGAATCCTTCAAAAAAGATTTAAATATTTCAAAGGTCATTTTTCAGTAGGCAACATTTGCATATGGTGAGAATTCCAAATAGTCCAAGAGAGTAAACTGACTCTCCCTTCTACCCCGGTGGCCCCATTCCCTCAGTCTGCTGCCTTCTCTCCTCAGAGGTGACTGTGGGTCCCACCTGTTCCAATAGACTTATAGAGATACTGTGTGCACGTTTCTATGCATTCTATGAACGATCTGTTCAAAAGTAAGTGAGTCTATGTCACCCCCTTGTTGAAAACCTTCCAGTGGTTCCCCAGCAAAGTGAGATTAAAATTCAAATTCCATCCCAAGGCCACAGGACTCTGCTTGTGGACCCCAGCATCTCCCCATTTCCACTGCTCTCCTCCACTCTCAATCTGCTCCAGCTACGCGCACTTCCCTTACTCTCCTTCCACTCTCAGGATTTGTGCCCTTGCTGTTCCCTCATCTTAGGACTCTTCCAGCCCAAATAGAATGACCCAAATAAAGGTCACTTCCTTGACTCCTCATGGTCACCATGCCCTTGTCCTGTGCATTTGCACTATTTGTAACACATCCCAAATTGATTGTCATCTCCAGTGGATCTTGGTCTCTGTGAGGGACCCAGTCTGTTTTGGTCATCACAGTATACTCACTGCCCGCGCATACTGGAAATAGTAGTACTCATAATGATTTTTAAAAAGGTTTTATTTTAATCACCTGGTGTTCATCACAATGACTTTTTTTTTTAAGAAAAAGAAAAGTTAACATTTAAGTCGTTACCATGCTGAGTACCGATCCTACTACTTTAACTCATTTAATCCTTATAACCTCTTTACGGGTACCCGTTATCCACGATTCAGAAACAGGCAAATTTAACCAAGAAATGTTACACAACTTCTAGTAATTGAATACGCAGCCATGCAATAGGTGAGTGAATGAGTGAATCAATGAACGGCCCTGAGAGGCGGGCGGCTTAGCCGGAGGAGGTACCTAGGGCGGTGGGCGGAGCCTAGGGCGCGGGGGCCAATGGGCACGCAGCAGTGACTGGCGGCCTCTCTTGGGATCCCTGGCCCCGCCCAGGCCGCGCGGGGGCCGCTGGGACTTGTAGTCTCCGGCCCACCTAGCCACGTCACTGCCTTCAAACATTAAGTCCTCCCCTGGTGCAAGGTATGAGCTGTATCCCCAAACTTCTAGGTAGGTTCCTTTACCCCCAGGCCCACTATTCTTTTTTTTTTTTTTTAAAGATTTTATTCATTTATTTGACAGAGAGAGAGAGAACAAGTAGGCAGAGAGGCAGGCAGAGGGAGAGGGAGAAGCAGGCCTCCCGCCGAGCGGGGAGCCCGATGCGGGGCTCGATCCCAGGACCCCGGGATCATGACCTGAGCCGAAGGCAGCCGCTTAACCGACTGAGCCACCCAGGCGCTCCTCCACTGTTCTTTATTCCTCCTCTTCCTGAGCTGTGTTGGTGTAGTCTCCCGGCTCCGCGGGTCCGGGACTCAGGGTAGGGTCTCTTGGTATCCTGTCCCCCAGTCCGTAGCCAACTTGGTATCGCCTTCTACGTTCATCAGTCCCCCCCGCACTCTTCGGTGTGGCCGCTCCCGCCACACCCCCCTGAAGCTGTTGCTCGCACGTCCTCTCAGTTCCTCCCCCTGTAGCTCGAGCCGCCCAGAGTATCTTCCAATGGCCGTGTTCCCCGCCCCGCACACCCTCTCCGTGTCCTGAGGCTCCCCGGCCCTATTTTGGTACAGCCCGGCCACGCCCCCTCGCGGACGCTCTTGGTACGCGCCGCGCTCCCCCGCTCGCCGCAGTGGTTTGGCCGCGGCGACCCCTCTCCGGCGGCGCGTCCCTCGCGCGTGGTACAGCCCAGCCCGTCTCCCCCGAAGCCGCGCGCCCGCGCCCCTCAGTCGGTGGAGCCCGCAGCCCCCCGTGCGGCCCGTGGCAACCCCCAGCCCACTCGGCCCGCGCCCGCCATGGTCCGTCCGCGCCGCGCTCCGCACCGCTCCGGCGCTGGGGGCCCCCTCGGGGGTCGCGGTCGCCCCCCGCGGCCCCTCACGGTACGCGCCGCCCGCTCGCGCTCCTGGCCGGCCAGCCCCCGCGGCCCGCAGCCGCCGCGGATCCGGGCCCGCTCGGCCCCTCCCATGGTGAGCCCCCCGCCTTTTTTCCAGAGCCTTCCACGGCCCCGCCCCCGCCGGCCCCTCCCCCGGGCTCGGGTCTTTGTCCACGGCCCCCTCCTCTCTGGGGTCTCCGTTTGGAGCCGGGTTCCCCTGTGGAGACCCCCCGGGTGGTAGGCGCCGGGCTCTCCCCTTTGTTGCGCGTTTGGGCTGGGGTGGCGGGGGTGGGGTACGGGGGCGGGGAGGGCTCAAATTACTGCTGACTCCGCGTCCCGATTTGAACGCGGGGTGGGGGGCGGGCGGGCGCCGTGCACGCTTGTTTTTCCAATTGGAAAGTTGGGTCTCTCTTCGGGCAGGAAATCTGGAAATGGGGGAGGGGGCTGAGGGGCCGCGGCGAGAGGGGCCCGCGTCTTTGCACTCGCGTGCTCAGGTGTTGCGCCTGGGGTGTTCTTCTCCGGGCCCGCGCGCCGGGGATTTGCACGCCCGCCCGGATGTGGGATGCACTTACGGAGTGCAACAAGCCCAAACGTAAACATCTGGCTTTGCAGGTACATTAACTACACACACTTCCCCGGACCCAAAATACGCACGCAGAAATGTTCAGGCGCACCTAGAATAGTAAAACTGCACATCCTGACGTTTCACGCTTGCCCAGATGTGCGTTTTGCCCTAGGCTGGCTCTGGAGTTCGCTTCTTTCGTACACTGCCCCGTCCTGTGCATGGCATGCAGCTGGGGCAGCCCCACACAAGCCTTAGACAGGCTTCCTCGTATCTTAAACTTAGATACCAAGTCTCTAAAGACCTCCCAAAACTTACACATACCCCTTTGCTCCACTGGCTCACCCCTCTAGTTCAGCGGTCACATGTAGTTCAGAAGCGTTTCCTGGGTCTTTAAACGTGCATCCTAAGGAAACAGGCTTCCCTGTGTAGTAAACAGTTCCCATGTCAGAGGCACAGCCAAATTTTGCACACACTTGCCCAGCCGGGAGATTTCCTTTAGGATTGCCCTGAAGCCTAGTCCCTCACCGCAGTCCTCCGCTTTGATGTGCCCGCCTTGTTGTTGCAGGTAGACCCGAGCTTTTAGATAAGCGTTACTGGTCTTTACATTTTAGACCGAAACATCTTTCAGGTCCTGCATGGTCAGCTTGCCCTCCCAGACAAAGCGGTCTTTAAAACACATGTGCCTGCAGTTTACGTTGTGCTGGATCCTTAAGCGCATTCACCGGGGCCTGTAAAGGCCCTTCAGCCGTGTGCTCTAAGTACCTCTTCTCGGATGTTCTATGCCCCACCTGTGGCACCTACAAACCCAGGGCTTCAACGCCCATCCTGCATCTCAGACACAGCCTGGCCCTGAACACCTGCCAGCACGTTCCTACAGCAAGATGCTCTCTGGTTTTCTTCCTGATACCATTGCCCAAATTCCAGAATCACCTGCCCAGATGGAGGACGTGCTGGTTCAGGTTTTTTGTTTTTTTGTTTTTTTTTTTTACTTTTTAAGCCCTCACAAAATATAACTTTTCTTGCCTGTCCTTCTGGGACAAAAGACATCTGTGTGCTTTATAGGAAATGCAGAGGATACCCATTAGTAGTAAGATGAAAAGTAACAACTGTTACAGTTTCTTTTGCTGCTTGGAAGCATTTAGGAGTGAGGTTTTCAGGGGTTTCTTGGTGTGCCAGCTTGTTCCAAAGCCTTCCCTTGTTTGCTTTGAGATGTTTCTGGTGTTTTTTTTTTTTTTTTTAAGATAGCTGTTAGAGTGCCCTGTGAAGAGTAGAATGTGGAGCTTTCCTTGGCTTTATTGCTGGAACGTTCTTCTGGTGTTCTGCAAACGCTCTCGAGATGTTGTGTTTGAGATCCCTCCAGGTGTTACGCTCCCTGTTCCAAAAGTCCCCCTGCCTCCCTGGATGGTTCTATTTGCTTCGCTTTACCTTCTCCACCCCGAGGTCACCCTGGTGTGGTTGCAGCATGAGGTCTGCAAGGGCAGGAGGGCCTATGACCACCTGCAAGGGTTGGAGGGAGCTAGAGGGGGAGGGTCCAGACTTCCTCTTGAGGGCCATGCGGAGCTTTAGAAGAATTTTGAGCATGGGCGCGCTGGGGCAACCCAGTGTGCCAGGCAGCCAGTCACGGTCCGGGCTGGCCTGTGCCTTGTGGGAGCTTCGAGGAGGCCCTGGGCCCCCAGAGAGCTGGTTTCTGAGTTGGGTCGGGACAGAGGGACCAAGAATTGCTCAGGTCAGGGGCGTGAGTGGATGGCATCTCCTGAAGGGGGGTGGGATGGCATTCCAGGCCGAGAGCGCAGCTGGAGCAAGGTCTGGAGGGTGATGGGGACCAGTGTTGAAGTGACAAGTGGGATCTGGGGGGCTCGGGTTCTGGAGTAGTGGCAGGAAAAGGATGTGGAGGTCAGCCACTTGAGGTCTTAGCCCCTGGGACGGGGTGTGGATGTGGTCCCAGGAGTTTCTGAGCAGGGGACTTGAGTCCGAACGTTGGGATGTATGTTGGGAGGGGACAGCCTGCCCTTGCGGGTCCCTCAGCCTCAGTTTCCCCGCTCCCCTCTGCTACAGCAAGGTGCTCGGGTCTTTGGCGCCTTGGGTCCCATCGGGCCCTCCTCGCCTGGGCTCGCCCTCGGGGGCCTGGCTGTAGGCGAGCACCGGCTCAGCAACAAGCTGCTGGCCTGGAGTGGCGTCCTTGAGTGGCAGGAGGTGAGCTGTGGCCAGTCCCCTTGTGAGTCCCCGTGGGGGCTGGGGGCTGGCCCTGCGGGTGGGGCAGGCCAGAGCATCTCGGTTGCGTCCAGTGACCCCTCCCGCTCCCGCGACAGAAGCGCAGACCCTACTCCGACTCCACGGCGAAGCTGAAGCGGGCCCTCCCCTGCCAGGCCTACGTGAACCAGGGCGAGAACCTGTGAGTAGCGGTGGGCGCGTGGGGGGTGGGCGCGTGGGGGACGGCAGGGCCTCCCCTGACCTCTGCCCCCTGCAGGGAGACCGACCAGTGGCCCCAGAAGCTGATCATGCAGCTCATCCCGCAGCAGCTGCTGGTAAGACCCGCCTCCGGCCCCCCGCGGCCCGCTCCCCGCAGCCCCCTGCCCCCCGGCAGTGACCCAGAGGCCCCGTTGTTGCCCGCAGACCACCCTGGGCCCCCTGTTCCGCAACTCCCAGCTGGCTCAGTTCCACTTCACCAACAGAGACTGCGACTCTCTCAAGGGGCTCTGCCGCGTGATGGGCAACGGCTTCGTGAGTACAGCGGCCGGGGGGGGGGGGGGGCGGGGGGGGTGCCCGAGCACAGCGGGAGGCAGGGGCCCCAGGGGCACTTTCTCTCTGTGGCCTCGGTGAGTGAGGGTCTCCGGTAGAGCAGGGCCTACAGGAGCGCCCCTGCCTCCGGCTCCTGGAGCTCGGCCAGCGCTCGTCGGGGATGCGAGTGAGTAGAGGGCCCCGCTGGGTCTCCGGGGACCCAGGAGCCTGTTGGGGACACAGCACGTGACAGGGACCTACTGACGGAAGGCGGCGGGAATACTCTGTGATGCTCTGTGCTGGGGCCCTCTCCTCCTCTGGCAAGTGGGGCTGACAGCGGGACTCAGTCCCTCGGGCTGTTAGAAGTTTGCGGAAGGTGCTCACGGCAGCGATTCGCGCATGTGGCAAACGTCCTGTAGCCACGGGCTGGGGCGGCTGTGGGGCTGGGCAGCCGGGAAGCGAATCTCCGCGTGGTCTCTGCGGCCCCCACGGTCTGGGCCTCCTCTGGATTCTGGTTTCAGCATAGGAGTCTGGCTGTGGAAGGGGACAGGGGCCAGCACAGGGGGGACATGCGATGAGAGCAGGTTGTCTGCCCAGGACACCACGGGACTCAGCTCTGGGGTCCCCTCTAGTCCCTGGTCCCTTTTGGGACCAGCACCTGCTTCCCTCTTCCATCCTCCTGTCTCCAGGTGCTGGGTGGGCCATGACCTGCAGTGTCCAGGCAGGTTCCCGTCCCGTTGGGCTCTTGCCCGACGGGGCCCTCAGGCTGTAGGGAAGGCCGATGTCTGCCTGCTTCCTGTGCCACTTGGCACGTCTCACTGCTGGTCCTACTCGTAGCTCTGGGAGGACTGGCTGCACACGGGTCCAGGAAGGTGGGGGACAAGCTCCCTGAGCAAGTGGCCCCTGGGTGACAAGAGATGGCAGGCTGGTAGCCTGGGCATTCTCCGAAGTGCACGCCCCTTCGTCCCAACAGCCCTGACAGAGGGCTCTGTCAGACTCCTGGTTTCCCAAGTCCCACCGAGGAGGCACTAGGATCTCATGTGACAGATGTTTATGTGGTGCTGACTGTGGAGGTTACTGTGAGGCCATTTTACAGACGGGAAAACTGAGGCCCAGGAACATGAGGCGACTGGCGTCAGGTCACACAGCTGGGAGGAAACAGAGCTGGGTTTGCGCCCAGGGCTTCCCTGGAGGCTGTTCTGGCCCGGTTAGCAAAGGCAGGTCCTGCTCTAAGGGACGGGACTGGCATCTAGGGGGACGTGGGTGGGAGAAGGCGCCCTCACAGGATCCTCACACCTCAGAGGTGACCCCAGACTCACGCTCAGAGGCGTGTCTGGCCCCTTGACAATGCACTGGGGTCCCTGACGTCCTGTTCCCCTCCCCCAGGCGGGGTGTATGCTCTTCCCCCACATCTCCCCCTGCGAGGTGCGGGTGCTCATGCTCCTGTACTCGTCCAAGAAGAAGATCTTCATGGGCCTCATCCCCTACGACCAGAGCGGCTTCGTCAACGCCATCCGGCAGGTCATCACCACGCGCAAACAGGTGGGCTGGCAGCGGGCAGGCCAGGCCTCGGGTCCCCGGGCAGCGGGCATGTCAGTGAGGCTTGGAAGAGCACAGGGCGTCATGGAGGGCGGTTCCCGCCAGGAGGGACGCCCGTGTGGAGCGGGGCAGGGACATGGCTAGGCAGGCTTGTGGGGAGCGCTGCGTGTGGCTGGAAGGCTCTGGAGGGTGATGGCGTGTCCTAGCTCACCTGACCTACGAGTTACTTGTGAATACTATCTCCCTTCCCCCTAGTGTCCCTGTTTGTGCAACAAATTGTAGGGCTGTCCGGTTGTTAAGAGGCAGACCCTGTGGGGTTGCTGCTCCAGGTTGAGCATCTGAGACTTGTTCCAGGGCATTCGGGAGCCATGGGAGGTCTGTGAACAGGTGAAGGGTAGGACCAGCATTGGAGAGTCCTCTGGGGCAGTGGACAGACTGGAGGCTGAGGAGCCAGAAAGGAGGCTGGGGCGAGGGTCTTTAAGGTGGGGCTGAGGTTTCCCAGAAGCCTCTGGGGCGCTCGCGGGCACCAGCCCCCCTTTCCTGCTTCCGCAGGCAGTGGGCCCTGGTGGTGTCGCAGGCCCAGTTCAGATCGTCAACAACAAGTTCCTGGCGTGGAGCGGCGTCATGGAGTGGCAAGAGGTGAGTCCTGGGGGGACCTGGGTGACCTTGAGACCAGCACATCCTCACTGACTGGGGTGCCTCCCCACTCCTGATGTCATCCTCTTCCTCTCCCCAAAAGCCCAGGCCTGAGCCCAACAGTCGGTCCAAGCGGTGGCTGCCCTCGCACGTCTACGTGAACCAAGGGGAGATCCTGTGAGTATGGGGCAGGGTGAGGGGGGGCAGAGGCAGAGTCCCGGTGAGACCCGGCTTCCTGACCCTCATCCCCTCATGCCCCACAGGAGGACTGAGCAGTGGCCAAGGAAGCTGTACATGCAGCTCATCCCACAGCAGCTGCTGGTGAGTGTGACGGGGGCCCTGGGCCTGCCACACCTGTGCCATGGCCACTGTAGACCTTGGGGCCACGGGCTGCTGGATGGAGACCATTCTGGATCAAGAGACGGCATGTGCAAGGGCCCTGTGGCTGGTGGCTGGCCTGTGTGACAAGTGCAGGCAGGCAGGTGTGGAGAGCAGCTTCCGGGGGGCGGGGCACCCCCCACAGGACCTGTCCGAGGTCGTAAGTAGGTGCCACCACGGTGTGGGGACCGCACGGAGGCAGGGTTTGTGCGTCATGGAGCTGCCCCGGCTTTCTCACAGACCACCCTGGTGCCGCTGTTCCGGAACTCTCGCCTGGTGCAGTTCCACTTCACCAAGGACTTGGAGACGCTGAAGAGCCTCTGCCGGATCATGGACAACGGCTTCGTGAGTGGGGCGCGGGCTGCTGGGCGGGCTGTAGGAACTAGGAGGTGAGGGACAGCGACTGTTTCTCCGCACCAGCCAGGGGAGCGCCGTGGTGGCCCCGGTGACTGCAGGTTGGCCTTGTGCTTGGACGCCTGCTGGCTCCCAGTCCACGGACTCCGCTGGGGATCTGCTGTCCTGATCGCATTTTACAGATGGGGAAACCGAGGCCCAGAGGCAGGCCCAGGGTTAACTCAGAGCCTGGAGGGGCTGATGCCACGGAGCGCCCCAGGTCCTGCCGCCTTCCGCTCTCCTTGGGGACGGGGCGCTGCTGTCCCTGCCGGTGTTCCGGCGAAAGCCTGAGGCTCCCGCAGGCCCCTTGCCAGGCAGGGAGGTCTGTCTGCTTCCCGCCGGAGCTCTCAGAGCGCTGAATTATGTTCCAGTGGGTCTTGGCCTCAGTTTCTCCATCTGCGAGGTGAAGCGGGTTGTCCTCCGGGGCTCGTGGAAGCGCAGCTGTCGCTGCACCAGGCCAGTGTCCGTGCCGCGGCCGGTCCGGTCCCAGCCATGCGTGCGTGTGCCTTGAGGGGAAGGCTGTGTGTTGGGCCTTAGAAGTCTGCCTTTGTGCAGGAGACCCTGCAGGCGCCCCCCCTCGGCCGGCTCTGGGCTCGGCTGCGGGCGCGCTCGGGCAGGGCTTCCGCCGGGCCCCTCCGCCGCTCCGGGGCTGCGCGTGGGGGGGCCTGTGCGTCTCGCGCGGCCGCCGGGGCCGCTGCCCGCTCAGCGGCCCGCGTGCGGGAGCCCCCGCGGCCCCGCCAGGCGCCGACCCCCCGCTCCGCGCCCGCCAGGCCGGCTGCGTGCACTTTTCCTACAAGGCGTCGTGCGAGGTGCGGGTGCTCATGCTCCTGTACTCGTCCGAGAAGAAGATCTTCATCGGCCTCATCCCCCACGACCAGAGCAACTTCGTCAACGGCATCCGGCGTGTCATTGCCAACCAGCAGCAGGTCCTGCAGCGGAACCTGGAGCAGGAACAGCAGCAGCGGGGGGTGAGGCGGTGGGCGGGGCTCCCCTCACCCCTGCCCCCGCCCCCGGCCCATCCCCCTGCTGACGCCGCCTCCCCGCCTTCCTCCCCCACAGATGGGGGGGTAGTGGCCGCCCCCAGGCTGGGCCCCTCCAGGAGTCACAGACGAGGCCCCTGCCAAAACTGGTGAGTGGCTCGGGTTGGGGGGGAGGGCGGCTCGGACGTGTCTGGGGTTTCGGGAGAGTGAGACCCTGGCCTTGAGATGAGAGCGGAGAGGCATGCCGTTCCCGCTGGTCCCAGGAGGTGCTGGAGCTGCGGTGTCCAGGCTGGGCGGGGAGGGGGGCACCCCAGGGGGCGCTGGGAGGCCTGGTCCAGCCCCTCTCACTCTCCTCCTGCCCCCAGGTCAGATGCTTCTGAGCAGGGGCCCCTGGGGATGGCAACTCTCCAGCGAGATGGAGGACCGCGGCCGGAGAGGTCTCCAAGGACGGTCCCCACCCCTGTACGTGTCCCCAATAAAGTCTTTTAAAAGCCTGTTGGCTACCAGGCTCCTGTCCAGATGCCTTCTGGGGGGCGAGGGGGGAGGCCGAGCCCAGCCCACCCCACCCCCAGGTTTGAGTCCTCCAGCTGCGGGGGACCCGGGAAGGTGTGTTTCTCAGATGTCGGAGGGAGGCCACTGAGCTCACTGTCACCTGGGCCAGGAGGGACCAGCACACTTCGTGGCTGCTCAGTCCCCAGCGGGCCGTGGCTGATGGCCTGGCCGCAAACACTGCCTGGGACCCCCCCCCAGGGTCAGGTGCAGGGTGCAGTTTCTCACTCACCAACTGCGGGATTCAGCTCTCGTCCTCAAGGTCCCATCACCCATGCTCCTTGGCCGGCTGTGCAGCCGCAGGCGGGGAAGGGCCCCCCCCCCATTCCCTTGGGGCCCGGCCAGGGGGCTCGTCCTCACTGGGCAGACCACCCTTGTTCCCAGCACAGTGCTGCCCAAGCTTAGAGAGAAACAGAATTTATTGGGGATGGGCGGGCGGGGGTCGCTCAGCCCTCCGAGAACTGGCAGTACAGCTGCTTGAGCCGAGGCTCCAGGTTCAGCCGGAACGGGATTTGCAGGAGCGCCGAGAATCCTTCCGCCAGAGTCGGGGCCTCAAACTGCTTCCTGGCACCAGGGGGTGATGGGGGGGATGTGAAACCGGCCCGGGGCTGCCCAGTGACCCCCCCCCCCGTCCCCCCCGCAGCGCTGCTCACCTGTAGCCGTACATGACCACGTCGGACACGGGGGCGTGCGGGGAGCCCATCATCTCCCGGAACTGCAGGGGCGGGGGGGGGGGGGGACGCGGGGGTCAGGGGGGCGGGCCCGGAACTGGGGGGACGGAGAGAAGCGCAGCGGCAGGGCTAGGGGCCAGCTCACCCGGTTGTTGTGCCGGGCCTGCTCCAGGGTGGCCGTGAAGAGGAAGCAGCGGCAGGGGACCCCCGCGTCCCGGGCACACTTAATGTACCTGGGGGGGCAAGGAAGGGGCCAGGCTGGTAAGGGGCCCCGAGCCCCCGCCCCCCCCCCCCCGGGGCCACCCCCTGGGACCCCGGTACCTGGCCCGGCTCGGAGGGTCTGGGTTGGTGTTGTCGATCACGACCCGTTTCCTTTGCTTTAGAGCCGTCTCGCACATGGTCACACAGCGCTGCCACGAGCCCAGCGTGTCCTGGGGGACATGGGGGAAGACCCCTGAGCGGGGGGGGGCGGGGAGACAGGGATACAGCAGGACGGGGTGTGGGGAGACCCTGCAGGAGGGAGGACGGCAGAGACGCAAGGGAAGCAGAGAGTTGGGAGAAGCCCCCAATCTGGGGGGAGGGGACAGGCAGGAAGGACCACTGGAGCCCCTGCCCCAGGCTCACCCTGTTCACGTGGACGTAGCCTGCCGACACGAGGTGCTCCTGGAGGAAGGTGGACTTGCCAGCTATGGAGCGGGGGGCAGGATCAGGGGCAGCCCCAGGACCCAGAGCCGCGAGGGGGCTTCTGCAGGCGCGGGGTCAGGGTGTCTCACCCCCAGGAAATCCCACGGCGACCACCACTTCAGGGTCGGAGCTCAAGAGGGAGCTGGACTCAGGGAGGTAGAGCGGCCCCGAGGGAGAGACGGTTCTCTGGGAGGGGCGGGCACAACGAGTGTGACCCCCTCCTCCTCCCCCCGCGCCCCCCACTCCCGCCCCGAGGGCCTCACCGGGTCAAAGGTGGGGAGCACGAAGCTGGCGACGGGCCACTTCAGAAAGAACTCCTCTGGTGTGGCGAAGGGCAGGCCAAGGTTGAGCGCAAACTGGGTGGGGGTCGGAGGGACACAGGTGTCAGACAAGGTGGGGACATGGCTCCCGGTGAGGAGGGGACGGGGGCCTCACCAGACGGTCTGCACAAGAGAAGTCTTTCTTCTTCCGCCCAGGGGCCCAGTTGGCTGGGCGTCCAGCTGCATCTGGACAGAAGACACACCCCCTTGTCCAACAGTGACCTTGGGGACAAGCTGCTGGCCCTGGGGGACCCACATACTCTCCCCACCCCTGGGTCCTTACCTCCCACGAAGACACTGTCCCTGATGGAGATGGGCACACCCTCGTTGGCCTGGGGAGGGACAGGTGACAAGTCCGCAGGCAGTAAGGAGCCCACTCCCGCATCTGTTCCCCCAGAACACTAACGGGTGCCCCGGGCTGCTCGGCTCCATCCGTGCCCTGCGTTAGGCCTGACCTCTGGCCTTCCGTGCCCCAGCCCATCAGCACGTCCTTTGGCTCTGCCATCGGGCCCCTTCTCACCCCCCTTCACTGCCACCACCTGGATCCTGGACTGTTCCATCCTGGCTGCCGGGCTCCTGGCTTCTGCCCTCACCCATCTGTTCCCCATGCGGCCACCAGAGGGCACCCAGTTCCTACTTCCGGAGATTCCTCTCCCCCCAACGCGCCTGAGCACCCTCTTTGCTCCCCCACTGGGTAAAAGGGAAGGCCTCACCTGGCCCACCTGGTCTGACACCTGGCAGCTCTCTGACCTCACGCCCCACCCTCACCCCATCAACCACTCCGGTCCAGCCACCGAGGCAGCTTCATGGTCCCGGGACACACTAGTCACAGCCCTGCCTCAGGACCTTTACACTCGCTGCTACTCCCACCTAAACCACTCTTCCCAGCTACCCACATGGCTCCCTCCCTCACCAGCTTCAGATCTCCCAGGGCACCTGGGAAAGGCCTTACCTGACCACTGTAGGTAACCCCTGCCTTCCCTTGCTTCATCCCTCCCACTATTTTACACCCCAGTCTGTGCGTCTCTTGCCTGCGCCCTCACAGGTATGTGAGCCCCCAGCCGGTCTGTCTTGTACACTAACCTTCAGTTCAAGAAGCTGTCGAGCTTCAGAACAAATGCACACACAAAAAAACGCATGAATGACTGATGTGTCACTCAACCACTCTGACCTCCAAGGTTGAGAAGCGCCGCCCTTGCGTACCAACAGAATGGGACAGGTGGAAACAGGAGGCAAAGACCAGGGGAGGAGATGGGAGGGAGAGAAAGGAGGAGGCCAAATACCAGAGATCTGCAGGGGGGAAGCTGGGCAGAGTGAGGGAAGAGGGGAGCCACGGGGAGACCGCCACTCACCTGCTCCTGCAGATGGTCCCACATGCCGATCACCGGCTTCCGGTACAAGCCGGCGTGTGTGGCCACCAGCACCTGTGGGCGGGAGTTTCACCATCCTGGGCTCCTTCCCGGAATCCTTCAAGGGCTCATGGGTCCCAGGGATGCTACCCCAACCCTCACCAACCCAAAGAGAGCTCCCGGGGTCCCCGCCCCTCCACCTCCCCCGGACTCTTCTGCCTTCTCCCTGGGTCTCTGTTCCCTCCTCCCTGTCCCTCACTCTATCTCCATCCCTGCCTCTGTCTGGGTCCCCATCCCCCCACCTCCACAGCCCTCAGACTCCCTTGTAGCCACACCTGAAAGGGGAGCCCCAGCTTCTCCACCACAGCCTCCACCTTGGCCTTGAACTCCTCTGCCGGCAGCTTCCCACGCCCAATGGCCATCTGGTTGGTGAAGATCACCAGCTGGGGAGCACATGGATGTCACCTGTGCCTTCCTCCCCAGGGCCCCAGTATGCCCTGCGGCCTGGTGACCACGCACAAAAGCACACACACCTTGTAGCCCTCAGCATCCAGCTCCCGGAGCTTACGCGGAATCTCGAGGTACAAGATCCTAGGGCAGGTGGGAAAGTGGCAAGATGACCTGGGGCCCCATGGGGGGCCCCCCACTCACCCCCTTCTTCTGCCTCTTCTCACCTCCAGTCGCTGGGGCCAGTGGGAAAGACCTTCCCAGAGCGTGTGGTGATGAGGGTCCCATCCAGATCAAAGCCGGCCACCTGACGTCAGCAAGAAAAGAGGAACAGCAACCCCATTACGCCTCCAATCCCTGGACTCACAGGCTGCATCACATCACCCCTGCAAGGTAGAGACGTTACCACTCGCTTGTCACCCAAGGGGAAATTGAGTCACAGAGAGCCCACACATCTTACGTAAGGGCAAGGTATGGCAAGGATGGGTCCCCGCTGGGGCGCCTCAGTCGTTAAGCGTCTGCCTTCGGCTCAGGTCATGATCCCAGGGTCCTGGGATCGAGCCCCACATCGGGCTCTCTGCTTGGCAGGAGGCCTGCTTCTCCCTCTCCCACTCCCCCTGCTTGTGTCCCCTCTCTCGCTGTGTCTCTGTCAAATAAATGAATAAAGTCTAAAAAAAAAAAAAAAAAAGATGGGTCCCCGCCACCTGAGTGCAAAGCCTAAAACCTTCACTGTACCGTCTCCTATTCCTCCTAAGCCCCTGGGTCTGGCAGTTTTAAAATGGGGTTCATATCCTACTCACGCACCTCCCCTGGCCTTCACCTCAGAAGGCTAACTGTGAAAGTAAACACAGGAGCGAAGTTGTTTGGGTGCTAACCACATGTCGGGGAGTGTGCCACATGCTTTTCACGGGTTCATCATTTTACTGGTGAGACCAGTGGGGCTTGGAGCAGGTGGAGTGATGGCATATGAGCTCGGGTCTCCGGAGCCCTGCTCCAGTGGTGGTGGTCACTGCTGGGGTTCCGGTGGGTCAGGCAGGCGCGGACATACATCGATTCCCCCAAGGCTTACAACAACGCCTGAATTTGTCATCAGGTCCACTTCTCAAAAAAGTGGAGTCTAAGAGAGGTTGAAGAACCTGCGCGGGGGGTCCCCAGTCTGTGTGGTTCCCTCGGCTTGGCCCTCACCTTGCTGCGGGGCTTCACCCCAGGTGCAGTAAACACTAGCAGCTTCTCGAACTTCTCCCAGCCGGGGGAGGACTTCCGCATCCGCTTTTTCTGCGGCTCAACATCCTCTGCCACGTCTGGAGCCACCGGAGGGGTGCCGGGCAGAGTGTCTTGCTGGGATTCAGGCGTGCAGACCTCTTCCCAGCGCAGCGTTAGTGGGTGGAGGCCGTTGACCAAATACAGTGTGTCCCCCACACTCAGAGAACCTTCTGACCCAGGAGTTAGCTCCTGCGTCCCAGCAGTTGAGGGGTTAATTCCCAGCTGCAAAGGGAGAGGGAGGAGCTGGGATTGGCTGCGTCCCCCACCCATAACCTCCTCTAATTAAAGACCACCTGGGGGCACCTGGGTGGCTCAGTTGGTTAAGCGACTGCCTTCGGCTCAGGTCATGATCCTGGAGTCCCGGGATCGAGTCCCGCATCGGGCTCCCTGCTCGGCGGGGAGCCTGCTTCTCCCTCTGACCCTCCCCCCTCTCATGCTCTCTGTCTCTCATTCTCTCTGTCTCAAATAAATAAATAAAATCTTAAAAAACAAAACAAAACAAAACCAGAAGACCTATTGGGGCGCCTGGGTGGCTCAGTCGGTTGAGCGACTGCCTTCGGCTCAGGTCATGATCCTGGAGTCCCAGGATCGAGTCCCATATCGGGCTCCTTGCTCAGCAGGGGGTCTGCTTCTCCCTCTGACCCTCCCCCCTCTCATGTGCTCTCTCTCAAATAAATAAATAAAATCTCAAAAAAAAAAAAAAAAAGACCACCTGGAAGGACTTCCCTTCCCCACCTGCCAACCTCCTCTAATTAAAGACCACCTGGAAGGACTTCCCTTCCCCACCTGCCAATCAGACCTGTAAGCCCCGCCTCTTCACTGTGTACCACCAATCAGGGATGTGGAGAAGTTACAGGCGTCCGGGCTCATCCAGTTTTAAATGTGGATGGATACCCGTTGCAGCGGCAGTCCCGCGGCTCTTCTCTACTGGCCACACTCTCTTCCCTCCAAACCAGGTTTTTCCAATGGGCCTGGTCCCTGCTGGGCTGCCATTCCTCCCCAACGCCACCCCCAGGCCTTGGGGAGCAACTGGTACCTGTTTCACTGCCACGGTCTTGGTCCCGGGGTCTGCGACCAGCTCCACTGAGGGTTGAGAGGGTGGAGTCAGAATGTGCATCGTTGTGCGACTGCCTTCCCCCCACTGGGGAGCATGGCCAGCTTCAGGCCACATGATGGGGACAATACAACCCATTCGGGAGGGGAAAGCAGTTTATTCCTAAACGGGACCCGCTGTCTCCTTTACAGGCAGTAGTCAGGTAAGAGGCCTCGGGGTCGCCTGGGACGCAGGCCCCCGCCTAGGGGCAGGGCGGGCATTTTTCCGTATAGAACTGGCTTCTCCTTAATGACGCGTGTGGCTAGAGGCAGGTCCTCGGCTTCGCCCGTTACCACCCAGCCCTGCTTAGCAACAGGTATTTTTCACCATAGGATCGGCTCTCGCCTTGGCAAGGGTCGTGACCTGACTCAAACCTTCACGGCGGCCTGACAACTCTTCTCGGGATCGGCTCCCTCCCCTCCCCACTAAGGGGTCTGGCTAGTTCCAGATGGGACAGAGCATTTCTCTTCCTATGCTCCCCAGCGGGCACCTACCAACTTCAGGACTAGCTACACCACGCAATCCCGCCCGGTGGCCAAGCAGCTCCCTTACTGGACTGGCTGGCTGTCCACCTTGCCCCAACACCGTGTTCCCGCTCCAGCAGCGGGCCACACCCCCTACTGCTCCGGCCCCGCCCACCTTGGTTTCTGGAGCACTTCCGGTCCGTAACCTGGGTCAAGGGTCCCCGGCCCAGGACAAGGACTTGCCCGTCCGAGGGCAGGAAGATGGGGGGCGCGCCCCCAGGGGGACTCTCCAGCCACAGGCTGCCCTGGGCCTCCACCTCGGCCATCCCGGGCACCAGCCTAAGGGGAAGTAGGTAAACAGGCTTGAGTGGCAGGTCGTCCTCAAATTGCTACAGGAAGTCCCGCCTCCTCCCCCCCAGACCAGGAATTTCCCTTCTTCCGCTGAAGGCTCCGGAAATCCCACCCCCTCGCCGGCCGCCGGCTCGCGCCGTTTCCCAGGCGACGACGCCTCGCTCAGTCCCGCGGCGAGCCCGGACCCCAACGTTCCAGGGCAAAAGCCAAGAACCTCACGCGCACCCCCGGCTCGGCCCCACGCTCACCGTGCCCAGGCGGGGCTCACTTGCCACTTGCGACCAGGGAATTCCTGCCCGAGGCTCTCTGCCCGCAACTCCGCCGGCTGCTTTCTCTGTTCCTCGGCGGACGGAAATGACTCGCCCTATGGAAGGGGGCAGGGCCTTGGCTCCTCCCACGACAGAAGCCCCGCCCCTCTCAGACCGGGGCTCCTTCGGTCCCTCGGCTGCTCTGACCTTCATCTCTCCTGCAGCAATGGGAGGCTCCGACCAGTAGGGGGGGAGGGTGGGTCCTCTGTTCACAGATTTTCCTCGTTCCACCTTCAATTCTTAACAAATTCATTTCCTTAGTTACAGAGGGAGAAACTTCTTTTCCATTTGATGATCGTCAGTCCAAGAAATCTCCACCCCCGACAGCAGCCCTGTCCCTCAATACTGCAGTTTTCTCTTTAAAGAGGATATAATCGTTTTCACTTCATGGGGTTCCTAGAATGATTAAAGGAGTTAGTAGATGTAAATAACTTTATAAAAGTATTTGGCTGTGGAGGGGGCGCCTGGGTGGCTCAGTCGTTAAGCGTCTGCGTTTGGCTCTGGGATCCAGGCCCGCATCGAGCTCCCTGCTCCCTGGGAAGCCTGCTTCTCCCACTGCCCCCTGCTTGTGTTCCCTCTCTCTCTGTGTGTCCCTCTGTCAAATAAGTAAATAAAATCTTAAAAAAAAAAGTATTTGGCTGGTAGCTCTCCCTGTAAGTCTTGTCTATTGCTAGCATTCCTCCGGTGGTGGTCTGATGGGAGAGTAAGATTCCAGGTTTACTTGACCCAACCTTCAGCTCTTATATTAAGCGGAAAACTCCTGGCCTCAGCTGGACGTTCCTGGCTTTGCCGGGGACTATGTGGACTCAGAGCACTGATTCCTTAAAGACCATTCACATTCCAACTCATCCCCCAGAAGACTGGGGATCAATGGTCACACAGGACTGGAATACCCCCCTTCGTACCCCATGAATCTCTTTTCTTATTTGTAAAATGGGGACAAAAATTCCAACTCCCATCTTTGCACTGAAAAATCGATGAGATGCTGCTCATTCAGCTTCAGAAAGTGTTGAATGAACACACTTTATACTCATTTGTCAGAGATAAAACTCTTTAATCTCAGACCACCCCTCCCAACTCCCGATCCCCACCCACGACTCTCTCCCCCACACAAGGGCCGGAGAGCGAGGGCCCCTGCCCCCCACCTTGGGTGGACGAGGGCCCTTTAAGGCACCTGTGGGGGTGAGGGGAGAGGGGCGGGAGCTGGTGCCGTCCTGGCTGCAAGGACGGACTACGATTGGCAGGCTGTTGTGGGATGGAACCAATGAGAGGGTGTCAAGACGCAGGGACAGGATGGGGCCGTCCCTGGGAGGGGGCAGAGGGGCACTTAGTCAGGACTTGGTCAAAAACGACCCCAGTCCCCGTAGTGTAAAGAACGTAAATTTAAGGCCGCAGGCCAATCCTGGGCACAGAGGAAGGTTTGGCCACGCCCTCAGGAGGCTGGAGCCAATCAGGCGGGACAACCCAGGAAGGATGGGATGGCGACTCCCGGGCTATTGGTCAAGCCCTTTGGGTTCAAGCCAATCAAATGAAGGAGTTGTCCATTCTCTAGGCCGAACGGGCTTGCCACTACCCAATCCTGTGGCCTGGCTGTTCTCTTTCAACCAATGCCGCGCGAGCAAAGCCCTTGTCGCTAGGCAAAAAAACGACAGTTGACCCCCGCGAGGGCTTTAAACTAGCTACGCCCCGATCTGGGAGCGAGCCAATCCCTTAATCGAAAGAACCTGTCGCCGGGCAAAGAAAGCGGCGACAGACCCAATCGGGAAACGAGATAGGTCCCGCTCCTCAGCGCGTGAGGGGGTCGTGGGCTGGAAGGACGGCGGGAATTGGCAGGGAGGGGGCAATCCTGGGACCCCGGGGACCTGAGAGGCCGGTCCCGGGTCTGACTCGGATTGGCCCGCCCCGGCGGGCGGGGCAGGGGTGTAGTGTGGGGCGGGGCGGACGCTGGGCCGGGAAGCGCTCTCCCTGGGCCTCAGTATTTCCGCTTCAGCTTCTGGAAGTCGCTGGTGTTGAGCCGTGGCCGCGGCAGGTCCCCGAAGACCTGGGTGTCCTCGGCCTCCCGCAGCACCAGCGCGCGCATGCTCGCCGCGATGCGGTCCAGGTCCGGCGAAGAGGGCTGCGGGACCGGGGCGGGGTCAGCGCCCGCTGCGGCCCCGCCTCCTCCCCCTCCCCACCCCAGCACTTTTTGCCTACAGCCAGGAAGGCCCCTTACCCTGACTTGCTCCGTGTAGGATCCTTCGACCCAACTCAAACACCACCTCCTCCATGAAGCCTTCCTGCCCCTCTCCTCCTCCCCTTCTTGGCCTGACTCTATGTGCAAGAACAGCTATCTGTCCCACTGCCCTTCCAGTTCCTTCGTACACAGCGGAAGTGCTGCTTCTCTGCTGACCATCAAGGCTGTGTGCACCCAGAGGGTGTCATGTCTAAGGATTTGGCCTGGGCTTGGCACTGAGTCATGTAACAATCAGGCCTCTGCCACCGACTAGCTGTCAACAAGCAGTTCATCTCCAGAGGCTTCAGTCTCCCCTTTCAAACGCGGGGCTGATGACGGAGTCTGAGACAATCAGCACAGTGATTTCTCAAGAACTGGGAACTACCATGTTGCCGGCGCTGTAGGGAAAGGATCCCTTTTCACATTGGCCTCCAGTCCCAGCAACTAGTGCGATCTCCCTTATGGCCTGACACCTTGAGCTGGGTCTGGCTTCCAGCAGAATGGGAGAGGCTCCGCCCTTTCAGAGACCAGCCCAGCACCCCCACCACTTGGGCCTCAAACGTTAGCTGGGTTTCCCCCAGGGGCAACGCAGACAGAAGCTGCGGATGGATGCTGCCAACATGTGGCCACTGAGAGGCACCATAGGGAGGGGGACCGCGGGACCCCGGGGCCTCCTCCCTTGCAGTCTGTAATTCCTTTCCAAAAGGAGGCTGGGTTCCAATCCCTGCTCTGCCCCTTCCAAGCTGAGGTCTCAGGGAAGTCACAGATAGTCCCTGTGCCTCAGGGAGGTTCAGTGCTGGGCGATGAAGAGCCACCCAGGGCAGCCCAGGAAGGCCACATGTAGGATTGTGTGGGAGAAAGGGAGGAGGTGGGGGAGGGGCAAATTCCAGGAGGAGCCAGGAACATGCAGGGTGGGGAAAGAAGGTGATCTAACCCCTCTGAGCCTCAGTTTCCCCTTCTGGAGGGGATACCAAAACACCTGTGCCTTGCCTGGAGCAGGTATTCTATAAATAAAGCTGTTCCTAAAAACCCAGAAGAGACTTTCTCTGTAAGGCACTGGGGTACAATTTAAGGCTGCAGGAGTTAAACCTTTAGGGCTCTGGCCCAAAAACCTGCCTCATGAGTTGGAGGGCAAGATCAATCCTAGGAAATGTGGCTTCCATGCCTGAGGGCTTCCTGGAGGAAGTGGCTCTGAGTCCCTCCCTCCACCCTCCTCTCCTTCTCCCCTTTGCTCCTCACCGGCCCATTCTCCTCATCCGATGACCGTGCTTCTGTCCTCTTCTCCTTGAAGGCCCAGACGGGCACGGACACGGGCAGGGACTTGGCATACTGCTGTGTGGGCAGGGCTGAGGCTGGGGGCACTGAGTAGGCTGGGGGGCCAGCAGGGGTCTCCTCGCTCAGGCTGCCATCTGGGAGAGAGCGTGGCCTTCAGCCTCCATCCTTGCCTTTATCCCAGTATCACCCAGGGGTGGGGACAGCCTGGGACACTTACCGTCTGTGCTCTCAGGGTCCGACTCACAGAAGGGGGGCAGGTCTTGGAGTGTGGCATCCTCGTCCATCACAAAGAGCCCTGTGGATGGTGTTAGTGGCCCGGGCCAGTTGGGTCCCTGCTGCTCTTCATGTGCTCTGGATTCCAGCCACCCCCACCGCCTCCCCACTCCTTGCATCGGCCAGGCCCTTGCAAACCACAGGGCTTCTGGAATTATTCCCTCTGCCTCAAACACCCTTCCCCTAGTTATCTGCCTGGTTATCGGCACAAACAAATCCAGTTTTTGTCTGTTACACCCCCAGGTGAAAGCAACTGGCTGGATGAACATGAAATCTGCAAGATCTGTTTGGGATGAAAGACTCAAAATACAGACTGAGCGAATATGAGGCGATTATGATCCCTGTTTGATAAATGGGGACCACGAGGCACAGAGAAGTTAAATCACTTGCCCAAAGTTTCCCAGTTAATAACCATGTCACTAGGATTTGAACCTGGGCCACCTGGCTCCAGAGTCTGTGCCCTGAACCCTATGCGGGTTTTCTCCAGTGAAGAAGCAAGCGTTAGTAGTAACAACAAATGAGTAATAAGTCCTACTTATTGAGCCTGCCCTGCAAACTCCTAATCACTCTTCAAAGCCCTAATGTTATAGTCCAGTCTCTGAAGCATCCAACCTCTGGATTCCCCTCCAAGACAGCCAGTTGCTTCCCCCCCTGGCTTCCTTAAGCTGTTGCCTGCATCCCTGATTCTTCTGTAACATCTATCTTTGTTCTCACAAGCATGAAGTGCCCCAGATTTGGAAACAACTCCTGTTCTGCTCAAGCTCCCAGCTCAGGTCTCAACCTCATGGTCTCCACAGGGCACTGCCTCCCGTCAGGACTACCAATTTCTTGGCCAGATTGGGAGTCTCGCAAGGAAAGGGCCTGAGGGGGGCACCTGGGTGGCTCAGTAGGTTAAGTGTCTGCCTTTGACTCAGGTTGTTATCCTGGGGTGTTGGGATTGAGCCCCACTTCGGGCTCCCTGCTCAGCAGGGAGCCTGCTTCTCCCTCTCCTGCTCCCTCTGCCTGTCACTCTCCCTGCTTGTGCTCTCTTTCTCTAGCTCTCTCTCTCTGTGTCAAATAAATAAATAAAACCTTAAAAAAAGAAAAGAAAAGGGCCTGAGGGGCATCTGGGTGGCTCAATTGGTTAAGCATCTGTCTTCGACTCAGGTCATGATCCCAGGGTCCTGGGATCGAGTCCCTCATCGGGCTCCCTTTACAGCAGGCAGCCTGCTTCTCCCTCTCCTGCTCCCCCTACTTGTGCTCCCTCTCTCTCTCTCTCTCTGTCAAATAAATAAATAAACAAATTCTTAAAAAAAGAAAAGGGCCTGAGCTGCTTTGTGTCTGTGTCTGGCACCTCCCAGCACAGAGCTGGGCCCAGGTTAACATGTAAGGATACAGGCTCAGAGAGGGGCCGTGACCGCTTCAAAGTCACACAGGGAGGCACAGGCAAACCAGCCTGCCCCCCGGTTCTTTGAGATTGCGGCTGCCACAAAACACCAGGGCTCAGAGACGGGCAAGTCCCACCCCTCCAGGAAAACCGACCTTGGAGACAAATTGCCAAGCCAAGAGCCTCCCCAGCCCCTGCCTCTCTCACCTCCATTATCGCTGACACCCAGCCGCTCCCCAGAGGTCTCAGTCTCTGTTGGCTCGTCCTCATCTTCCTCGTCCTCCTCCCTGGGCAGGGTAGGCCGAGGTGGGCTCCGCGCAGGGCTGGGTGGCTGTGGTGCTGGTGGGGGCACGGGGGGCCGGGCGGCGGCGGCAGCCCTGTGGGCCAGGGCGATGTCGTGGAGGCAGCGGCGGGCAGCCTCGGCCAGGGCCCCACGGCCGTGGGCTGCATAGGCACAGGGGCCCGGGCGGGGTGGGGGGGGCGGTGCGGCAGTCAGCAGCACCAGCTCCGTGCCTGTCCGGGCCCGGAAGCGCTCAGCGGCCCCCACCACCGCCTCCCACAGCTCCTCGGGGCGCCCCGACGCCATCCACGCCCTGCAGGGCAGAGCAGGACAGAGAGCTGAGGCCCCGCGGACTGACTGCACGGGCTAAACCTGGCCCCCAGGCGTCCACCTGCCCGTAGACGCCACTACCATCCCTCCCGGCCACCTTGTCCCAGCTGAGCTCAGCCCCTTCCCCCAAATTCCTCCCCATCCGGACCTCTTGGCCCCGTCCCCAACCCTCCGGCCCCATCCTTCCTGCTCCACTTTGTCCCAACAGCCCCGGTCCCTCCTCTTGGCCCTGCCTTGTCCAATATGGGAACCACCAGCCGCATGTGACTAAGGAGCACGTGAGATGTGGCGGGTCCAAGGTGAGAGGTGCCATGAGTATGAAATCCGCACTGGTGTTTGAAGACTTAGTACAAAGAAGTTGGATGTCAGAGGTCTCCCTAGCAGTCTGTTGACTATGCATCGAAGAAATGACATTTCAGATATAATGGCTAAATAAAATATATGGTGGAAATGAATTTCATCTGTTTTCCTTTTACTTTTTTAATGTGGCTTCTAGGAGATTTGAAATGATTTGCATGGCCAGCATTCTTTTTCTGCTGGACCACCATTCCTGCCTCTTCCTGAACCTCTTAGCCTCCAGTTTGGACAGTGCGCTGCCCCTTGGGGATCCTTCTACACTGCCCCCGACCCTGCCCCTCCCTAGTATCCCCAGGACAAGGTCATGGCCCCTCAGCCTCACAGTCTTCCAAATTTCTGAGGCCTGAGGCCTTCAGTCAAGATCACGTGTCATCTAGTTACTTGTCAATCTTTCTCTCACCCTCGTGTGGAAGGAGCTTTTCCTCACCCCAGATCGGGTCAGTCCCCCCTCTTCGGACTCCAACAATGTCTGAGAATCCCCCCATTCTAGCACAGGGCTCTCTGGGGAGGACTGTCTGGATCCATCTCTGTCTCCCCAGCCACTGCGGAGCCGCCTGAGGGTGAGCCTGTAGGATTCATCTCTGAGCCACCAGCCTTGCCCCGCAGGGTGGCAGGCAGAAAATGGGTACAAACTGTTCTCTGCGCCTGACTCCATCTATGAAGCTTTGTACTTCCTACAAGACTGTTCTGCCAGTTCCTCTGGAAGTCTTCCTTGAGCCTCCAGGATGGATCAGATGCCTTCCCTAGACCCACAATGCCCTGGGCTACCTCCATTATAGCTCACTGTCCCTTGAGCTTATGACAATTGTACCTCTGTCTGCCTCCATCAAACTGTGAGCTCCCCAAGGTCAGGGATCTGTGCCCCAGGACAGGTGGGCCCTAAGCAGACAATCTGCTGGATGCATCTCCTCATGAGATGAAAAGAGCAAAGTGCTGGGGCGCCTGGCTGGCTCAACTGGAAGAGCATGCAACTCTTGATCTCAGGGTTGTGAGTTCGAGCCCCACACTGGGTGTAGAGATTACCTAAATAAACAAATAAACAAACTTAAAAAAGAGAGAGAGAAAAGAGCAAGGGGCAAGGGGGCTGGCTTCCTGCCATCTCAAACCTGCTGTGTGACCTTGGACCACTCACTGGCCCTCTCTGTGCCTCATTTTCTTCTTCCTGTAAACCAGAGTGGTTGAGCCAGGGCTGCTGGGAAGCCAAGGAGCCTCCTCAGGGAGGTAGGGGGCACCCCGTCACTGGAGGAATTCAAGCAAGGTTCTAGTCCAGCCAGGGTCATGTGTAGCTTGATTTCAAATCGCCGGCCCTTTTCAACTCATAATCACATGAGCCAGTGTTTGCTGAGCACCGACTCCATGTAGGGAGCCCACACCTGTCATTTCACCTCCTACCTGACCCACTAAGGTGGGAGCTGTTACCTCACAAATGAGATAAGCAAGGCTCATGGAGTACAAAGCCCATGCTGGAAGCCACATGCAGCAAGAGCACAACCATTCCTGACAGATCCCATAGCAAATTCACACTGCACTTCCCACAGGCCAGGCAAGGGATGCAAGCGGGTCATCACCATTTTCATCCCAACCTCTCCCCAACGCTATGAAGGAGGGACTGTTATTACCCCACTTCACAGTTGCAAACTGAGGGCCAGGGAGATTCAGTATTTTGATTAGGGGCATAGGGCTGGAGAGAAGAGCCTGTTCTTAATCCCAAATGCCATCTTGCCTTCCTTATCGGGAAAGGTTTATGTCCAGTTGGGGAAAGTGAGACTCAGAGAGCCTCAGGTAGTGGTCAGAAGGCCCAGAAGTTAAATGAGTCAAAGCAGGGCTGACTCTGCTGTCTGCCTGACTCCAAAATCCAACAGAACTGAGAGGTGCTCAGGGTCCCCCCTAGCTGATGGAGGAAACCAAGGCTCAGGGCAGGGAAATGACTGGCCCAAGGTCACACCGCCTGGCAGTGGTAGGCCTGGGGCTCTCACATCCCTGGGACATCAGGATTAAACTCTCTGGCCTAGATCTTAGAGCAGTTACAGGATTGAAAAGAGTGAAATGGGGTTGAGTGGGTGTGAGGGTCTCTCCACTGTAAGAAGGAGACCTGGGCAAATAGGAGGAGGGCAACTCACACCTCTCTGCTAAGGCCTGGGGGCTCTCTGGAGTTAGTTCTCCAAAAGTAGAGTGGCCAAGACCAGGGGAGACTCCACCCTTTCAGCTGCTGGAGGAAGTCCTGTACCCTCTAAGGAGCTCAGAAATGAATGGAGGGTTCCCCAGCCCCCCAAATTGAGGATCTTAGAATTAGGGAGAGGTGAGACTTGTCCCCCATAGGAGGGGGAGGGGAGAGCTAAGGTAATTGGCCTCTTAGGATGAGATGAGCAGGTGAACTGAAGAAAATCGCTCTAGGAAGAGGTGAGGAAAGACAAAGTCCGCCAAGGAATGAGGGATGCTAGTGAAGCCCCCTTCCAACCACCTGTCAAACTAGCAGTGCCCCTCCCCCAGCCCCAAAGTGGGAGAAACTCGAGGATGCCCCTCCACCCCACACCCCGCATAGCCAGGGTAAAGATGAATGTCTGGGCATTTCCTCAACCTCTCAGAGACCTCCTTCCCACCCGGCCCGGGGGTCCAGGGAAGACCCACTTCTTTAGGAAGAAAACAGGAAATCCCGCCCAGGTGGGGGTCAGGACCGGAAGTCCCGCCTTTGGACGGGTGAGGGGTGCCCCGAGTCCCCCCGAGCAACCCCCAGACCCCGTGGACATGGTCCACGACCAAGGCAAGGATCCTAGTGGGTCTGGAGACCGGAGGATAAGGCTGTCTAGGTTTTGCCTTGGGTCAGACACGACGGTTCCCGCGGGCGACCCCTTTCCAGCGCTCAGAGTAGGGTCGCTGGAAGATCTCTGTCCTCTGATCTACGCAGGCCATACCCCTCCCGCGAGCGACTCGCCCTCCCAGGGCCCCTCTCCTCCGGACTGCCAAATCCTCCCCACACCGCGCTTCACAACGCCGCCTCCACTCACGTGCCCGTAGCCAGCATGGCCGGCCCGGCGCCGTCGCCGCCCTCAAAAGACATGGCGGCGCCTTGCGTCACTTCCGCGTGGTTGGCCCTCCTCCGTTCTGCACACTCCGCCTCCCTTGTCCGGGCCGCCCGAGACCAAAATGGCCACGGGAACATCACCGGCTCACAGTGGGGCAATGATGACGGCACGGTGCCCGTAAGAAAGATGGTGAAAGAAAGGCTTCAGCTTGCTCGGAAACAAGCCAGAACCATTTCGATTTCTTCCCAAGAAATACGGCCATCGGAATGTGCACTCTCAGGACCACAGTAAACTAAGGCCAGCGACCTGACGCCCCTCACCCATCGTCGACCTTTTCCATAGAAGTGGAGGAAAGCAGTGCCCATTAACGACATGGCAACCAGCTGGCATCACTTGCCCCAAATGTATATGGACTCTCCCTCCAGCCTATCCCCCTTCAGCACCAAGGGTGGGAAAGATTCAATATGGCAACTTTTTTGCTTCGGTTTGCCAGGCTTCAATATGGCGGCCCAGACCGCCGCCTCCCGACGGTGACTCAGGAATTCGACTGGGTCCGCTTCGTTCCCGGGGATACTGACGGCTTCATCCCGTTAACCCAAGTCTCTCAGCACCTTTTGTGACGTACACCTCCTCTCACCTTCCTTCCCTTTACCCGTTTCTTTTCCAGGACCTCGCTGTCGCGCCCCTCAAAGAGATGGGACTGCCCCGCATTAACATGGCCGCAGCTGACAGGCTTTGGCAGTGCCCTCGAGCAAAATGGCATCTCCTTGGCTTCGATGCCAGTATACAATATGGAGAAAGAAGTAGGCGTTTCGGCGAGAGCTCGGGCGAGGGGGTGGAGCCCTTGGACCCTCCCCCTTGTTTACTTCGAGGTAAGGGGAGCAGCACTGCGCTTGCGCACTCTCGCTGGCCTGCTCCACCTTCGCCATATGCGACATGTGACTTACACCCTCGTGGTTCAAGTTCAACCACCCCATCTGAAAGATGGTTACATCCACTCCCGTTCTAGAACAGGCAAGGGCGCTACCACTGTCCAGGCTTGAGGGGCGTCTCCTATCCGGATGTGACAGCACGATGACCCGGAAAGGGAGAGGGCCGGGGGAGTGGGACCTCGGCCGCGGCTATGGAAGGAGCCGGTTACAGGGTAAGCGCTGAAAACGCGTTCTTTCCTTTCTGTGGATGCGAAGCGACGCCCTCCGGTAGTCTGCTTCGCCCCAACGCCCCGCCGGGGCTCTGGGAGCCCGGCTGAGCCTTAGCGAACCCACCGTTCCTTTATAAATGCGCTGTCACCCTCCTCCACTGCCCTAGGGGAGACCCTCACCTTTTAGCCCCGCCCCCTGGGCGGTTGGGACGCTCCTCTGGGCCCCGCCCCCTGGGCGTCTTCCTGCGCTTGGGCCCCGCCCCTCACCGTTCCTGTCCCCAGGTGCTGTTTGAGAAGGGTGGCGTGTACCTGCACACCAGTGCTAAGAAGCACCAAGACCCGGACTCGCTCATCGCTGGCGTCATCCGCGTTGTGGAGAAGGTGAGCCGGGAGGGAGCAGGGCTCGGGCAGGCCCAGAGCGGGATGGAGGCAGCATCTGTAGGCTGTAGTCTGGAGGTCACGATGGGACGGTGGGAAGGCAGAGGGTGCGGACTGGAGCGCGAGAGGGGGCTTTGTGAGCCTGAGGGTCCAGACGGGGAAGAAGTTTGGAGATACGGCTTGGGGAAGCTGGAGGGGAGGGGTCTCTCTAATCCCTCTTTTCTTTCCTCAGGACAGTGATGTCCTCCTGCAATGGGTTCCTGTAGAGGACGCTGGAGATTCCACCCAAATTCTCTTCTCCAAGAAGGTAGGCTTTCCTCCCTTCTCCTTTCTCCCCTTGTTTTTTTCCAGGTTTGAGCAGTGGAAGACATTTGAAGGACCTGGGTGCAATCTCAGACTTGCTCTTGGGGCATGTGTGATCCTGGTTGGGATCTAGGCTCTCTTTGCTCCTTGGTTTCCTTCTCTCTGTGAAATGGGGCTGAAGATGCCCGAGAGATTCATAACCATGGGGACAGCGGCCCCCTCATCCCCTTTTCTCTTTGGGAGAGCCCTGCGAGGGTGCAAGAGGACAACACAGACCATGGATTCAGGTTCCACGGGCTCTCGGTCTGCACGGACTTGAAGGGGTATGGCATTCCCCTGGGGGCAGAAAGTACACTTTCTGGTACTCCTTTCTACTTTGGGTACCAGGCCCTGTGCTGGGACCTGGAGATGAGTCTGACCCTGCCTCAGTCTTCACCCCCATTCGATTTTGGGAAACTGAGGCACAATGATTGGAAGCCCCTTTTGCAAGGTCAGAAAGCTAGAAGGTGTTGGAACTTGAGTTTGAACGCAGACTCTCTGGCTCCAGGGGCCTGCCCCTTTCTGGAGGGAGCAGACATTTGCACTGAACTCGAAGGATGAGAAGGGGGCAAGAAAGTACTTCAGGAATGGCAGGAGGAAGATCGTTTCAGGATACAGGAGGAAATAGGATGTCTCTGGAGAGGGGTTTGCTGGGAAGGTGGTTGGGCCTGCAATGCCTGACTGAGAAGCTTGGACTGTGTTCTGGGGGCCCCCGGGGGAACCATGGGAGAAGGATGTGGGTGTGGAAAGCTCCCTTGGGAAACCATGCGGGAGATGGGCAGAAGGTCCGAATGGAGGGAGGTTGTAGGCTGGGAGGTGAGAGAGAAGATTAGAATGATGGGCCAGGGGGAGAGAAGGAAGCCTCACTTGGGGCAGTGGGGCTTTGAATAACCTGGTGGGGGTAACAGAGAGATTCCAGAATTCTGTTGAGGAGCCTGGCTTCCCAGGGTTGAGGAAGAAGCAGCCAGCATTCTGCATTTTTCGTCAGCCTCACAGGCCGGCCGAGTACCTTTCTTGAAAATGTGGCTGTCCTCCTCGGCACTCTATTTTTGACTAACAGAAACTCACTGAAACAGGCTTCAGCGGAAAAGGCACATACGCACGCAGGATACACTTAGCTCCAAGGAACGCAAAATTTGGCTGACAACAGGTTAAGCAGACAAATTTATTTCTCCCCTTTCACTAGACACTCAAAAGAGGTATGGGGCTGCTGGCCTTGGTTGGCAACATCAGGGCCTAGATCCCTGAGACCCTCTTGTGTGTGCCCTGGTCGCCTTTAGATGACTCCTTCAGCTGCAACCCCTGCATCTTCCTTTTAAAGCAGAAAGATGGGGGCAAGCAGGGTGGCAGTCATACATCTGTTCTGCTCATCGGGAAAAGCAAGACATTTCCCAGAAACTCTGCATCAGCTAGGACTTGTTTTTGGCCGTGTGAAATAGAAACAGAAGTGATAGAAACTCCTACCTTTCCCATCAAAAAGTCCAGAAGTCAGCCCACAGGTCCACGTGTCATCACCAACCGGCATCCTTCCATCTTTGCTCTGCCGTCCTCGGCATGTGGCGGCCGTCCTCGGCATGTGGCGGCCATCCTCATGGCTGCCTTGTGGTCCAAAAAGGCTGCTGGAGCTCCAGCTTTTTTGGACTGGTTTTGCTCACTGTATATGTGTGTTGCAGGTTGGCCAAGGAGCTCTGTTCATCGTGATTGCTCAGGGAAGCATGCTGCTAGAGCAGTTACTGTTCCTTGTGGCAGAGAGCAAGAGCCTGGCGATTAAACAGTCCATCCTGGAAGGGATGTGTCCCAGCCCCTTGGCCAGAACTAGTTGCATGACTCCAGCCAGCCAGTAGAGCTCAGTGATCTGCAATCCTGCCGCGTGCCCAAGAGGCAGAGGGTTGCAAACGCTGGCAGAAGGCAATAGTGGTTCTCCTTATGTAAACATTGGTGAAACATCACATTCACCTCACAAGACACAGAGAACAGGGATGGCTTTGCCAGGGCTGGTTCAGCAGCCTCGTGGACAGGTGTCTCTGTGACTCCCTTCGTGGCCCTAGTTGGCTGCCAAAGCTACAGACACCACGTTCTCCCTCAGTAGCACCCAAAGACTGGCCTGAATAGGGTGGTGTTCACCCGTGGAGGTGCCTTTTTTATCAGGAATTTCCCTTTTAAACTCCCCACAGATGGCATCTCGGCTCCCACTGGCCAGAGTTGGGGCCCGAGGCCACTCGGAACCCCAGGGAAGGCTGAGAAAGCAAATAGTGGGAGGTTTTGGCTTCTGTTGTGGGAGGGGCTCTGTCTGCCTGGAAGGAGCAGCAGAAATGGCTTTCGGGTAGACCCACCATCTGGGTCCTTCCAACAAGGGCCCCTCGTGCAGGGTTTTGTTGCGGGAGTCATGGAACATTCCGGTTACTTTCAGCAGGAAGGGATTAAAGGCAGACAAGTAGAGGCTTGGTGAGTTTGTACAAAGGCCAGCGGAACAAGACTGACCCTGCAGAACTGACCTGCCAGGGGAGCTGCCACCACCTCCAAAATGAGGACAGTGGGGAGACATCATCGTGGGACCTGTGGACACCCCAGAACACTACACCCGAGCTGCCACCCAAGGGCAGGAAGCCACTTGGCCCTCACCAAGCTAGTGACTGGGCGCTGGGAGACTGAGCCAGCCACCACCTCTACCCTAGTCACCTCTCTGTGTGTGGGAAAACAGGAGTCTCCAGTGTCAGCCATGCAGCCCCGAGCGGCAGGAAGTTGCCCCTGCCTCTTTCCTGCTTTCTGCTGTCTTCCGTCATGTGTCCTGACCTATAGCTGCAAAGGAGTCTGGGAAATGTAGTTTTCGCCTCCCAGCCTCTGCAGCACTCATGTACTTTGTCCCCTCCCTGTCCTTCCCCATGGCCTGTGGCCAGCACTATTGGCTGTGACTGCACTGCCGTCTGCCTCGGTTTCCCTCTTTGTTCACTGGGGCTGCCTTCCAGGGCAGCCTCACAGCTCGGATCTGGAAACCCCGAATCTACAGCCCCTCACTCTCTTCTTTTCCTCTCTTCTCCCAAGGATGTCAGTGGGGGTGACTCCTGCACCTCTGAGGAGGAACCGACCTTTGACCCCGGCTATGAACCCGACTGGGCTGTCATCAGCACCGTGCGGCCACAGTCCCGCCATTCAGAGCCCACTAGAGGTAGGCTGAGCCGGTGCCCCTGAGGAGACGTGTCTTACCCTCAGTGGTCATGGCTCCACAGGCTTTGCTGGCCACAGTCACGATGGCCGTCCATCGCTGGCCTCCAGTCTCAGGAGAGTGGATCGGGGTGCAGCACCGTCCCCAGCCCAGGTCCAGCCTGGCAGGGTCTCCAGGGTTCGCCGCCTTGCTCACCTCACCGGGTTCCTGGATTGGTTGTGGGCACCTCCACCTGGTTCCTGCCTGTGAAGGTGTCCAGGCTGTGGGGGTGACCGTGCAGGGTGAGAGGGTGATTTGTCCTGGAGTCCTACAGGGTGCTGGGGGCACTAGAGGAGGCATCCGGCCCCTCTGGGGTGTGGAGAAGCCTTCCAGGAGGAAGTGATGCCAGCCCCTTGCTCTGGGGGACACCTGGGAGTTTTCTCTCTCACAGAGAGACCAGCTGTGCAAGGCCAGAGGCACAGGGCCCTGAGTGTGTTTAGGACACTTGAGTGTGGGGTCTGGAGTGAAGAAAGGGCTGGAGATGAGATGCGCAGGGGGCAGGAGATAGACCTGAGGGGCCTGCCACCAGGTTGAGGAACATGGTCTTCACGCTGAGGGCCACAGGGAGCCAAGGGAGATTTTAGAGCAAGTCAGTTGTGTTTCCAAGATGTGAGGAGACCCAGGGCTCCCAGACGGCTCTCAGCGGACATCTGTGCTGCCTATGACTCCCCACACCTGCTCCCGACACTGTGCTGTTTGTTCCTTAGGTGCAG